CTTCCTCCTCCTCCTCCTCCTCCTCCTCCTCCTCCTCCTCCTCCTCCTCCTCCTCCTCCTCCTCCTCCTCCTCCTCCTCCTCCTCCTCCTCCTCCTCCTCCTCCTCCTCCTCCTCCTCCTCCCTCCTCCTCCCTCCTCCTCCTCCTCCTCCTCCTCCTCCTCCCTCCTCCTCCTCCTCCCTCCTCCTCCTCCTCCTCCTCCTCCTCCTCCTCCTCCTCCTCCCTCCTCCTCCTCCTCCTCCTCCTCCTCCTCCTCCTCCTCCTCCTCCTCATCCCCTCCCCCCCCCATCCCATCTGGGGGGGAGCTGAGGACCCTGGGACCCATCCCATCTGGGGGGGGGCCGTGAGCCTGGAGCCCGCGATCATATATCCCCCTTCTCATCTACTTCTAACCTCCCTATCCCCTCAGAAAACCCAACGGTGATCTCAGTGGCGGCCCGAGTACCCCGTGCGCAGGGCGAGGGCTGGCACGCTGCTCGCCTCCACCCCTGCACAACGAAGCCAGGGAGAGGGGGCAACATCGGACAGGGATGCACCGGGGATCTCGGCGATCAGGCGGCTCTGGAGAAGGTACAGCGGGGGCGCGCATCAAGAAACCATCTGCTTTTCGTCAGGGTATCCTGGGTTTCTTCGCTCCGCGCGCTGCGCGGTCACTTCCCGCAGCCGTTGGAGAAGCTGCTGCGTTCAGGGTGCTCCAGGTTCCCCCTCAGGTGCACCTCGCGCGCGGGTTTTCAGGGTTGGGCTTCTTGCGAGGGTTTCTTGCGGCCGCGATCGCACTGTGTCGGGCGCCGCGGCCTTCTCGGAGCGTTCCGACACGCTCCGGGAGCGATCAGACACGCCTCGGAGCGGATTCATCACCATCCCCGCCCCGCCCAGGGGGTGGCCCTCTGCTCGCCTCCGCCGCTCGGCCCCCTGGTCCCCCCTCGCTGCGAACCAAAAGCGCGCGACGGCGGGTTCCTGCCTACTTGTCAGCCTTCGGGGGCGACGCAGAAGACCCTGGAAGACAAGGTCACGGATCGAGAGAGGCTCTGGTTTACCCCGCCCCTCCTCGTTGCGAGGGAGTCGCGACGCAAGGTTTTTTGCAGCGTTCGGCTTCCGTGGGCCAAGAGAACGACTCGAGACGAAAACCCTGTCCCAGGAAGGGGCCCAGGTTGGAGACGGTTGGGGGGTCTGAGCTGGCTGGGGCTCCCGAAAATCGGCAAGGAGGGGGCAGCCAACTCCGCCCCAAATCGGTTCCCGAATCCCTCCCGAGGCCCATCTGGAGCACTTCCCCCTTTTTTACGACGACATGGGAGCAATGAACAAGACTTCGCAAACTGGATTTGCTGTACATGGCTATACCACGTGTGGAAAATGCTGTACAATCTGCGCTCGTCGCTGCGGGGCGTACCCGCCTCTTGCCAATTGGCCGGTGCCGACACGGTGCTGCACTCGAGCGCTCGCGCGCAGGTAATACGGCCCCGGGTCCCGAAGACGGCCCCCGGACGCCGCAAAAGGACAAGAACCCGTCCCGAACCCAGGGCCCCGAAGCTCGCCCCGCCCTCCCTGCTGGCCGGAACCAGTGGATGCCAGGCCACCCCGGACCCCCCGACGGCTCTCAGGCCCATCCCCCCTGGGGAACGCCAAGACGTCGGATGTCTGTGTGGAGCCCGAGGACGCCGGGGGCGACGATGAGGGCGAATCGCCCAGGGGAGAGCATTGCATGTATCCGAGGGCGCCGATGGTCCATTTGGGCGTCGCTCAGTGCGGGGGCGATAAATGATAAATGGGGGGGAGAGGTGCACTTCTCGGGACCTAAAGGCCCTCCATTGAGCTCGAAAGGGCCCCTTCAGGTAGAAGTCAAACAACACAACCATAATAACCACCCCGACACGCGAAGTCGTTTAGTAAACGCGCCCAAAGAAGGACTCGAACAGGGCAAGGCTGTTTCGTAAACGCACAAGGCCGTGTAGTAAACGCCAAGTGTCTGGTCCAGGTGGTTTTCCCTCCCTTGATTAGGGGCCCTAACAGGCCCCTTTGCTGCAGCCCTCGCCGCCCCCCATTTTTACCGCCTCGCCATTGTGCAACGCCCAATCCGTGCCTTCGGCGAGGCTCCCAGGTGAATGCGTGTACGGCAGGTTCGTGTCGTGCCGACCCCAGCCTTGGTTTTTGACACCGCAGGGATCGTTCAACCTTGAACGATCGGCCGCTGCCGCAACGTCCGATCGTTCAACATCGATCGACTCTGGGTCGCCAGCGGCGTTCAACCTTGAACGCCCGCGCTGGGGTCGCCGCTGGTCGACACGACGCAAACCTACCGTACGGCAGGTTCGTGTTGTGCCGACTTCGGCGTTGGTTCCTGACACTGCGGGCGGGTGTCGTTCCGCCTCGAGCGATCGGCCGTCTCCGAGACGTCAGACCCTTCAGATTTGACCGACTTTGGGCCGCCAGCGGCGTTCGACGTCGAATTCCGGCGTCGGGGTCGCCGCCGGTCGGCACGACGCGAACCTGCAGTAATATTGTGTCGGGCCTGCTCTCCTACAGGCGGATTTTGGAAGAAAGTGAGGAGGAGGGGAGGAGGAGGAGGAGGAGGAGGGGAGGAGGAGGAGCAGGAGGAGGAGGAGGAGGCATTCGAAACTGGTCTTGACCACAAGGCCCTCCTTTCCACCCGCCTCTCCACGGAAACGGGTTGAACAGCCCAGTGCCCCTCTTCAAGAGGTACTGCACAGTTCCCGTCTGATGTGATGGCACGTGGATGTCAGTTTACAGTCGCATGTGCACGAAGCCCGAAGCGCTCGCCTTTTGAGCTGCCTCAAACGAAACAAAGGAGCAGGATCGGAGCAGCTCGACTCGGAGGGAGGGAGCGTCGTGCTCCGCAGCGCCGCCTGCCCTGGGGAAGAGGTCCAGACCTCTGGGGAGGAGGAGGAGGAGGAGGTGGAGGTGGAGAAGCACGAGCAGGAGCAGGAGGAGGAGGAGGAGGAGCAGGAGGAGGAGGAGGAGGAGGAGGAGGAGGAGGAGGAGGAGGAGGAGGAGGGGGAGGGAGCAGGATCGGAGCGGCTCGACCCGGGGCGAGTGCAGCGTCGTGCTCCGCAGCGCCGCCTGCCCACGCGGGCCACGGGCGCGGCGCCGAAGGCTGTGAGGCACCGCCGTGGCCGGAGCTCCGGCGGCGCGCGCCCGAGGGGGGCCTCCGGCGCGAGCGGGGGCGGCCCTCGAAGCCGGCGGGGGGGGGGGGGCTCCTCGGAGCGCCCGCCCGGGCTTCCAGAGGCAGCCCTCTCGGAGGCGCCGCGGGGCCCCTCCGGAGAGGCCCCTGCGCTCCGAGGGAGCCGGCCGGCCCTCCCCCCGCCCGCTCGGGAGGCCCCCCCCCTCCCGCCCTCCGTGGCAGCAGCCCCTCGCGCGTGGCGCCGGCCGAAGGCGAGGTGCGAGCCCGCCGGATTGCGTGCGGCGTGCCCTGCCAGCTCGGCACACGGGGGGGGGGGGGCAATCCTCCCGGGCGCAATGGCAAGTGCGCGTCGGTGCGCGGAGGCGTGTCCGCGTCGAGGTGCGCGAGCAGCGCCGTTTTTTGCGGAGGGGAGGCAGGCAGGCATCTGTGTCTGCAGGAGAGCATGGGAACTATCAGCTACGCGACTGTCGTCTTTTACTTTGATTGCGCTCCAGCCTCTTCGCGCGGTTGGGACTAGCCAAAGGCGGGTCGCGTTGAATACTCGAATAGGGACATACTTGGCTGTGCAGCAGTTGGGGGTGCCTGTCTGATCGATGAATATGTATAACAGATCTTGTATATGTTTGGTATCTCTCTCTCTCTCTCTCTTGCACACCTGTCGAAGGGTCTGGAAAGACGCGCGCCCTCTCCAGACTTTCGTTGCATTGCACTGGTACGCCCAGAATCGTGCAGACCGCTTGGAATCGAGCTCGCCAGCATCTCCTAAGATCGCAACGCTCTGCTCGGAAGTTCTCTCAATGATCACCTGACACCCGATGCTCACTCCCCTGGTGCGTTGTGATGCTTTCCTGTCTCGTTACCCTGTCCTCCATCTCGGCGTTTTTTCTGCCAACCTGCACCTTTTCCCTCATCGTCTGCGATGAACTGAAATCAAAGGCTGGCCGCAAGCAATCAGCCTTGCTCTTGTCCAAATCTGTGAGGAAAGGATGTGCCTGTCCCGCTGGGCCTGGGCACGCGTGTAAGAAGGAGGGTGGGACAGCAAGGCGGTTCTCGTGGCACTGCTGGCGCCTGGAAATGATACTGTCGCTTGGGTCATATTTCCAGGAGGCAGAGATCTGGCTATGTGTTGAACCTTATGTGCGTGCGTGCGTGCGTGCGTGCGTGCGTGCGTGCGTGCGTGCGTGCGTGCGTGTGTGTGTGTGTGTGTGTGTGTGTGCGGATGTGTGTGTGTGTGTGTGCGTGTATGTGTGTGTGTGTGCGTGCGTGTCCCTATCTCCCCCTCTTCCCGCTCTCCGCCGCTTCCGTGCTCCTCGTCTCTGTCCTCTCCCCGTCTCCCCCGACCTCTCTCGTCAGCCCCCCTGCAAGTGACTCCGTCGATCCCCTATTTACCAGCCTGGAACATATCCCTATCCCTATGCTGGGCACCTCCTCATCACGATGCCAACCTTAGGGATTCCCTTATTTTTTGAGGGCGAATCCCTCAGATTGTCATCACCTTTTGGCCTGTCAATCTTAGGGATAGGGATACGTTCGAGGCTGGTAACCTATGGGAGGATCCCTGGTCCCCACGCCGCGAGACCTGGACCAGCCGCGCTCGTTCGATTTTTTCAATGTCGCGCCGCCGCGCGCGTGGCCGCGACGCCCTAAGTGCGCGCGCGCGCGTGTGTGTGTGTGTGTGTGTGTGTGTGTGTGTGTGTTTGCGTGCGTGCGTGCGTGCGTGCGTGCGTGCGTGCGTGCGTGTGTGTGTGTGTGTGTGTGTGTGTGTGTGTGTGTGTTTGCGTATGCGTATGCGTGTGCGTGCGTGCGTGCGTGTGTATGTATATGTGTGTGTGTGTTGTTTGCTTGTGTGTGTGCGTGTTTGTGTGGTGTGGCTGGTGTGGCACCCAATGTGTGGAATCTAATGCTTGTTTTGTCCTATGCGTGGGAGGAACCCTACGTGTGCCTTGTGCGGGACCCTGCGTGTGGAACCTCATGTGCGGAGCCCTGTGCAGAGCTGCAGAACCCGAAATGTGGGACTCTGCCTGTGGAGCCCCGTCTGTGCGAGGCCCCGTGTGTAGGGAACCTCAGGTGGTAGCCGTGTGCGTGGATCCCCGCGTGGAGCCCGGTCGGTGGATTGCTTTTCCTTGCCGTCTGCACGCGCAGCCAGTGTCAGCGCCGCTGGCCGAACGCTGGCGTGGGCAGCCCCGCAGCCGCCGGCCTCCCCACTCACTGGGCGCCGCGCTCCAGTGCGGTCAAGCTGCTAGGGGCGACGCCCCCCTTCTGGCCCCAAACGCGCCTGGGCGCCCGAGGGGCGCAAGAGGAAAAGCCATGGAAGGACCCCGACCAAGCCCATTCTGAATCTGAACTGCTCCTTGTTTCAGGGTATTCGCTATGGAATGACGGCTTGCGGCAGTCGCAGACATTGAAGCGGACTGCGCATGTGGGAAGACCTAGGACGCCACAGGCCCGCTGGGGCACCTGCTCACGACTGCAGACACGTGTGGGGCTCCCTCTGCTGCGGGGCATCTTTGGGATTGCCGCTCGCTGCGAGCCAGCCCATCAGCTTATAAAACGGGGACTTCGGCCCACCTTGAGGTGCTTTGGGCAGGCACTCCTGCTGGGTGCCATGGCGGATCCAGGCCGAGTACCCCTGTGAAGGGATTCCACCACAGCGCGTCGGAAACCAGAGAGCTCCTCCTGGAAGCGAGGAGAGCGGGGGCGTGTCTGTCTCGCCATCGCTCGGACGTCCATCCCCCGTGCACTTTTCGGTTTCGTGCGTGCATTTTTTCCACGGTGATCCAATATGCTCCTCGACGGGTCCCTTTTCTGGAACCCCCGCTGCTCCCCCGTATTATCGCCCCCCCATTACGTGGCCCCGAAATAAATCCGTTCCAGGGCGTTCCGGGGCGCCCTCAGAGCGTTCGGGAACGCTCTGGAACGGCCGCGGCGCCCGAGACATCCTCCAGGCCCGCCGATTCCCAGAGATTCTCGATGTACATCGGTCCGATTGTGTCTCGATTCTGCCGTCGTCTTGTACTCTATTTTCAAGTGAGTTTCTCCTCCTCCTCCTCCTCGTCCTCCTCCCAGGTGAGACACCGACTCCACCGCAGAAAGACGAGGGGCGGAAGGAGGAGAGAGACGAGGAGACACGAAATACCCTGCACTCAAACGAATTCTTCCTCCTCCTCCTCCGCCCCAGATTTGTTCCCTCCCCCCATCCGTCCTCGCACCCCCTCCTGTCGTCGGCCCCTGGCTGGATGGCGGCCCCAGCCAGGTTGGCAAAAAGTTCGCATCCGACGTGGGAGCGCTTCGGGTGTTTTCGAGGCTTGGACCTCTGCCCTGTCTCTCTCTCTGTTCCCCTTTTCTGGGATTCATGGAGGTGCCATCCTTCCCCCTCATCCTGCTCCTTCCTCTTCCTCCACCTCCTCCTCCGCCCTCCTCCTCGATGGTCCTCCCCGCTCCTCCCCGGATTCTCGGTTCACGCAGAAGAGACCTGTCGCGCACGCGCAACATGCCCCTGCGATTACGTCGGGCATGTCCCCCTACAGGCGGATTTTGGGCGACAAATTCAAACAACATACTCAACAAGTAATCAACCAAGTAACAAACTACGCCAAACATCGTCCCCAGGCTCCTGTGGAGGGACAGGCTCGACTTAACCTTAAGAAAATGACAGGATCCTGCTATACTGACACGGATACGCAGGAGCGACGATTCACCCCACTCGACCTGCAGCATGGATTTCAGGAGGTGGATGGGGAAGGCTGTCGCCCACCTCCTCCAAATCCCGTCCAATCCAGAACTTTGACGTCGCGTTTCTTCCACGACCCGAGCCCCCTGGAGGTCTCGACTTCTCACCTGATGATGCTGATGGTGATGACGATAATTATGATGATGATGATGATGATGATGATGATGATGATGATGATGATGATGATGATGATGATGATGATGATGATGATGATGATAATGATCATGATGTTGATGCTGATGATGCTGATGCTGATGCTGCTGCTGTTGATGACGACGATGATGCTGATGCTGACGATGATGCTGACGATGATGCTGCTGATGCTGATAATGATACTGATAATGATAATGATAATGATGACGATGATGATGATGAGGATTAGGAGGGGGAGGGAGGAGGCGGAGGGAGGAGGAGGAAGAAGAGGAGGGAGATGAGGAGGATGGGGATGATGATGATGATGATGATGCTGATGATGATGATGATGATGCTGATGATGATGATGCTGATGCTGATGCTGATGCTGATGCTGATGCTGATGATGATGATGATGATGATGATGATGATGATGATGATGCTGATGCTGATGCGGATGCGGATGCTGATGCTGCTGCTGCTGATGAGGGTGATGACGAGGATGATGAGGAGGTTGAGGAGGAGACGGGAGGAGAAAGTGGAGGAGGAGAAGAAAGAGGAGGAGGAGGAGGAGGAGGAGGAGGAGGAGGAGGAGACGGGAAGAGAAAGAGGAGGAGCAGGAGGAGCAGGAGGAAAAGCAGGAGGAGGAGGAGGAGGAGGAGGAGGAGGAGGAAAAGGAGGAGGAGGGGGAGGAGCCCCGCGGGCGGGGCGGAGGCTGCGCGCCCGACCAGCCGCCCAGGAAGTCCAGCAACGCCTGGTGGAGAGGGGGGCGCGGCGACTGGCAAGGCCGGCTGCTCGGGAGCCCTCGGGGGCCTCCGGAGGGCTCGGCAACGTCGTCGCCATCCTCCTCCTCCTCGTCCTCGTCCTCCTCCTCGGTCTCGCCCTCCCTCCTCGCTCCTGCACCACCACCACCTCCTCCCTGCTCGTCCTCTTCCCCCCTCCTCCTGCCTCCTGCCTCCTGCCTCGGATTGCCTCCTCCTCCGCCTCCTCCTCCTCATTCCTGACTCCTGGTGCTGTCCCTCTCGAGCGCGGGGCCTCCAGAGTGCTCGTCGTCGTCGTCGTTGTCGTCGTCGTCGTCGTCCCTCCTCCTTCTCCTCCACCTCCTGGTCCCTCCTCCTCCTCCGCCACATCCTGCTCCCTCCTCCGCCTCCTCCTCCTCCTCCTCCGCCACCTCCTGCGCCGTTCTCTTCCTTTCGTGAGTTTGATGCTAGAGGTCTTGGCTTCACCATCCCGAATAACATCTGGAATGGCGAGAGGCTGCAAGTCGGAGTTCTGCATCAAGAACCCCAGCCTGTATGGAGTCCCATTGCTCAGTCCGACGCCTTTCCGGTTGGAGGCTTACACATTCTGCCAATCGCTAGCAGTTTCGCGAGTTGGGTCTCCACATTTGAACGGTGCGTTCTGCAGCATCACGCTCAATTCAACGCGACCGTGGCGAGAGTCAGCACAGGTAGAGCCGACGGTCCAGAGCTCATCGTGAAACCTGTGCGGCATTGCAGGAAAGTTCGAGACACACCCATTCGAGATCGCATTGCCAGCTGGTGGCAGCAGTGCCCCCACAGTGCTGGAGCAGCTGCACAAGCATCGTGAGCGGGACAACGGCCCCTAGCAGCAACAGCTCCTCACTCAGCGAGGCCCACAATGTTCCAAGGGACACGGATCCTAGCTGGGACATGTGGGCCCATGGTTTTGGCAACATGTCCGAAGCGGTCCATACTTCCGAAGCGACGGCGGCCATCCTGCCGAGAGCAGGGCGATATCGCAAGCTCTGAGAATTTCGTGAGTAGGTTGCCTGATCGGAAGCGACCCTTATTTTGCATCGCAGTCTCAGGGCGGCACCTGAGGCAGACGAAGATATTTTCTTTCAGGCGAGTAAGCTCAGTGTCATCCCATATATGTGGTCGCTCAAGAGACGGAACACTTTCAGAAGCTGTGGGCTTCGCAACTCGGCGACACAAATCAGACGGTGGAGCTGCTCCGCAAAATCATACATGATGCTGAATTCGAATTCCTGCCGGCCATTACGATGGAGGAGCTGGACCTGGCGCTCAAACGTATTAAGCCAAAGCTGGGCTTGGAGATGACTGTTGTCGCCGCTGGACGTACAGCGCCTTCCCATCCAAGGCAGGTTGGAGTTCGCGAAAGTGCTCAATCATGTTGAGCGGGAGTTCACCTGGCCATGGCAGGCGCTGCTTGTGCTAGGTAGGTTTTGTTATCAATCAGATCATCACATAGCAGAAGTGTGCGTATTTCGAGAATGACATGCCGCGCCTGGTCCATGATCAAGGAACACTACGTGCAACCTTGGCCAGGGGAAGAACGTGCACGCTGGGAGGCGGCCCTGGAAGGCAACTCTGCGTGCGCAGGGCATTCCATCTCGCACCGTCTGACCTCATTTTTGAAAACACTACGGCACCAAACCGCTCTGCAAAACTCTTTGAGGGTGTGTCGGGGTCACGAACCATCAATAAAGGCCCCCCTTCGATAATTGTGCTTCTCAATGGAACCGTCGAACTCATCACGGATGTTCTGACCCGCAAGCTCGACTCGTTCCTCCTGCAACTTCGGACACTTCCAAATCCTATGCAAGAGAGGGTCGCGCATGCCGCATCCTAGCGGGTAGTCCTCAGGGTGTCGGTGTCTTTTGGACCTGGCGTAGAGCCTGGTGAAGAGGGCCCCCGTGCAAACGGCCCCCAGGGATCCTTTTCCCAAGGGGGGGCAATGAGTTTCGAGGCCAAGTACTTGAGAACGACATGAAAGCACCCTCTAAGGGCGCGCGAACTCCTCCCCAAGCGGCAGGTCTAAATCCCACCAGCCCTTGGGGCGTGAGTGGTTTAGAGAGCCCGCTCTGTCCTCAACCCCCCTTCTTCCCCTTCGGGGAGGGGTTTACCCCTCCCCCTACCCCCTCCCCCTGGGCCTGGACAGGGAGCCCCGAGTGTTCTCAGGGGGGTCTTTTTCGACTCCTGGGAGGGCCAAAAAACGACGACCCTCACGAGGATTCTGGCCCCGACGGGGGGGCAGAGTTTGGACCCTCTGCTTTTCTTTGAAACCCAAATCATTGATTTTACTAGAGTTTTGGCCCCATTTGGGCCTCCTCAGGGGGCCGCGCTTCTCTTCCCTCATAGCAGAACCATTGATTTGACGAAGGTTTTGGCATCATCTTGTCCTTCTCAGGGGCAGCTCTCCTTTGCGCTTCTGCGGAGGTCGCAAAAGGCCCCAAGATGGCCCCAAGAGGCCCCCAGGAGGCTCCCAAGAGGCCTCCAAGAGGCCCCCCAGAGGCCCCCAAGCGGCCCCAAGAGGCCCCCAAGAGGCCCCCAAGAGGCCCCCAAGAGGCCCCACGAGGCCCCAAGAGGCCCCCAAGAGGCCCCCAAGAGGCCCCCAAGAGGCCCACGACGCCCCAAGAGGCCCCCAAGAGGCCCCCAAGAGGCCCCCAAGAGGCCCCCAAGAGGCCCCACGAGGCTCCAAGAGGCCCCCAAGAGGCCCCACGAGGAGCCCGAACGACTCACATCAGGACGAGGGGCCCGAACGACTCACACCACGAAGAGCCCGAACGACTCACACCACAAGGAGGGGCCCGAACGACTCACACCAGGACGAGGCGCCCGAACGACTCACACCACGAGGAGCCCGAACGACTCACACCACGACGCGGGCCCCGAACGACTCACACCACGAGGAGCCCGAACGAGTCACACCAGGAGGAGGGGCCCGAACGACTCACACCAGGACGAGGGGCCCGAACAACTCACACCACGAGAAGCCCGAACGACTCACACCAGGACGAAGAGCCCGAACGACTCACACCACGAAGAGCCCGAACGACTCACACCAGGAAGAAGGGCCCGAACGACTCAGACCAGGACGAGAAACCCCAAACGACTCAAACCACGAGGAGCGCTTTCTCTCCCTCCTCCTTCGCCTCGCCTCGTCCTTCTCCCGCTCCCCCCACAAGGAGGATGTACAAGGAGGCGGGAGGAAGGAGGAACAGGGGAGATATGCGGGGCCAAGCGGACACACGCCTGAAAAACACGACTGTCGGCATGCTTCGCGAGAGTTGCTGCTGTGAGATGGGCTGGTGGGGATACGCGAAGCGTAAAGAATTCCGATAATAGCGTCGCGCAACATGCTGCGCAACATCGCGGGACTCTGCTGAGTCAGCGACACAGCGTATCCCAATTCCGTGGGGAACGTAGGAAATCCTGGTAGCTCGCATCCCAGACGTTCCAAGGAGTTCCTGAGCGTGTAAACAGGACCCGCGACAGACCTCCAAGTCCCGAAGGGCTTCCTGAAGACGTCCGCCCAGGAGCCCATAGGAGCCTAGAGTGGGATGATGGAATTAGAAGAAGAACAACAAACACTTAAACATAAACTTTTGGCGCTCCGCGCGGACTTCTTGGATCTGCGCTGAACCCCCCTCCCTGGCGCGTGGAGCGCGCCAGGGGCGGCGCCGGAAGCGCCGCCGGGGGGGCCCAGCGCGGATCCAAAAAATCCGCGCGAAGCGCCAACAATTTATGTTTATGGTGTTTTTCTTCTTCGAGGGATGGAGGGCCTTCAGCCAGGCGTGCCGCACTTCGTGATGTCAGCGAGCGATGGGGGCGACCTGCACCAGCCAGGTTCAGGTCGGGCATGTTTTTCAGGCGGATTATGAGGACAAATAACAAATAATTAATACACATCCCCAACATGATCAAACATAGTCAAGATAATCGTCCCCATACAATTTTTTGACATGTTGGACTATTCCTCCTGTAGAGGGACATGCCCGACTTAAAGCCAGGTCGGGTCCTTCCACAGGCGGATCCTGGAAGAAAAATGGGACATAGTCAACAACATACACCAAACATGTTGATCACACATAACCCCAACATCGTCCCCCAGAGTATTTGTTGTACCATTTTTGAATACTCCTCCTGTAGAGGGACATGCCCGACTTGAGGCCAGATAGGGTCCTCCTCGAGGCGCATCAAACCATCCAGGGGCCTGTCGCCCGCACCGGGCTTGCTCGCGGAGGCGAGGGAGTCGGGAGCACGGCGGAGGCCGATCCGCTCGGCGGCGGAGGCACCGTGGACCTCCGCAGCCGAAGTTCGTGGAGACCTAAGACTCGGGTTCGGGGGACTCGGGCTGGCCTGGCGGGGCCATCATCAAAAAGACGAGGCCCAATCTGAAGTTTGACGCGAGCTCCCGCTGCAGACAGCCCACGAACGCAGGACCGTCCAAATCCGGGACGCGCTCGTCAAAAAACGTCGGCTCACCCGAGTCCCGGCGCACTCGAGTCTTACGACCCCCCGACCAGTGGCATCCTGGAGAGGGCCTGACACCCACAGCGAAGGACCTCGCCGACCTCTTCGCTCTGGCCTTCGCCCTGCTCCTGCGACGATGCGAGGCCCGAGGGGCCCTGCCGGAGCTGTCGCCCGCGCCCGGGTCGGCTGGGGCCGGCGCGACGGGGCCGGGCAGAGAAGGGCCGATCAGCCTCTGGATGTCCTTGTGGGGCGCCAGCAAGGCAGCCTTATCTTCGGCGCTCACGTCGCTCGCTACCAACCTTCAAGAGCTCCCTGGGCCCCGAGACCACGCCCTCCAACACATCATTGTAGGTGCCGACAACATGGTACCATTATCGGCGATATACAAGCTCTTCCTAACAGAGGGGCTCCAGCTAGTTTTGCCCGGGCCTGCCAGGGAATTGGCTCGGACGAAAATTGTGGCGAATGGGCATCCAGCCACCGCTCCCATCGACGCCCAAAGGGGGATGCCAATCATGCCTTGCAGACTGACGTGCTTAGAAGCTCGGTGCCCGTGGCAGGCCAGCCCGGCCATGGCCGGAAGGACCCCGAGCCCATCACACCTTTCAAGCGCGCTCGATGGAGAACGACTCGTCATCCGCCACCGTGCCTTTGGCACGTGGTGGGGAACCCAAAGGCTCATGCAGCTCTGCGAAGTAGAGGGCTTGCGGTTTTACGGGCTCTCAAGGGCCCGGCCCCCGGTTTCCCAGGCTCCCCAGCGCAACTGCGCCCTCTCGGGGCGTGCCGCCTGAGCTTCTGGGGCGCCAAAGGGAGCCCCCAGACGGCCCACGAGGACCCGGGGAGGCCCCGCAGACGGCCTAAGAGGGTCCCAAGTCATCGAGCTCATCGACAACGCCGACGATGTGCGCGGCTTGGGCCTGAGGGAAGCGGGTCCTGGATCCCGTCGGATCTGGCCAGTGTGTGCCCTCGATCCTGTGATCGTTCGAGGGCCGCCTCGTCGATGCACTTCGCAGCATGGCAGCATCGCCGTCTCGCAGTTCTCCACGCCGCCCCGCAGCTTGCAAATTGCGCTGCGTTTTTTTGCTGTTGCCTGGCCGGGAGTTAGCTCATCTTGGCGGCGCGCACGGAGGGGTAGGGGGAGGGGGGAAGGTTTCTTGGAAGGAGGCTGCTTCTCAGAAGGCGCTGGCCCTATATCTACAGACGAGGCCCGCCGCTTCCAAGAAGCAGGGGTTCCTCTAAGAAGCCATCCCCCCTCTTCCTGCCCCCCCCTGCGCGTGGCCGACTTTTCCTCCCTTGATTTCCAGCGATCCGATGCCGTATTTTTTTCAGCACGGGGTCCCCGGAAGTCTCGACCCAATCTCTCAGGACCCGCTTCTCATCCCGAGCCATGTTCTGACGGCCCCGGGGGGCCCTTGCGAGGGCCCCTAGAGGACGAAAGTCTTCGTCGACGACTTCGAAAAACCTAATTAAATTGTTTTTTCTTTGAACGTTGGATCTCCGATCATCGGTGATCTTCTGACCCGGGTCAATCCAAACCAGGTCAGTCAGGCCTTGCAGAATCCTGTCAAGCCATGCAGACTCCTGCAAGATCCTGCACCCAAACCCGGGTCAATGCGAAGGATCCTGCAAGATCCTGCAGGATGCTGCACCCAAACCCGGGTCAATGCGACCCTGTCCCTGCAGGATCCTGCAAGACCTGGCGCTCTGGCTGACCCCCGTTTGCATTGACCCCCGTCTCAATCGGGAGCGGCCAAAAAGGGGGGTGTCCAAGAGGGGGGGTGCAAATCATGACCGGCGGCATGTGCGCGGCCCAGCGGGGGGGCCAGGGACGTAATGAAATAAGAAGAGGCGCCATGAAATCTGGGGAAATGTATCCTGGCCCCCGCCATGAGATCCCCCCCCCTGGTCATCACCCCCCTCTTTCCCGGCCCCGAGGTATCCGCGACCTCGCGGTCTGGATTCCGGGGCGCGAGCCCGTGGGTGCCCAACCTTGCGGAGACTGAGGAGGAGGAGGAGGAGGAGGAGGAGGAGGAGGAGGAGGAGGAGGAGGAGGCAGAGGAGGAGGCGGAGGAGGAGGAGGGGGAGGAGGAGGAGGCCCCCGATGGAAGCGTTGGCTCTCCGACCACTGGTCGTCTGCGGCGCCGGGAGCGGCGCTCCGTCCCGAGAGCCGCTCGCGGCTGGCCTGCCCGGGGCGCCCGGGGAGGGCCCCCTCGGCACCACGCGGGGAGCGGCGGCGGAGGCCGCCGGGAGGCCAGCCTCCCCGCGGGGCCCCCGTTGTGCCCTGCCAGGGCGAGGCTGCGGCAGGGGCGCGAGGGCCTGAAGTCGGGCGTGTCCCCCTGCAGGGGGGGGATTTTGGGCGAGAGGCAAAAAGTACCCCTAAGACTTGCCCCCTCAAATGGGCAAGCAAGCAAAAAAGAAAATCGTCCCCAGACTATTTCCAGGGGGATTCTGGGCGAAACAAAAAATGCCCCAAAAGATGGCCTCCCAAATGGGCAAACAACAAAACAAATCGTCCCCAGACTTCAAAAAAACCACAATGAATATTCCCCCTGTAGAAGGGGGCAGGCCCGACTGAACAGGGGCCTCGGAGGGCCACGGTGGCGTTTCTCGAACGAGGTGGGCCAGCGAGGGTCCCCAAAGGGTGGGCCCCAGAGGGGGCCAGGCTGCAGCCAGCCATCGCTCGGACGTCCACTCCCTGTGTGCGTGGTTTTTTTCGCCAAATGATCGAGGATGCTCCTCGAAGGTCCTCGCCGAAGGAAAAGCGCACACGTCCGAGCGATGCCAAGTGCAGGGGTAGACTTGGGAAGGTTGCCCGTCCTTGCTTTGCGGGTGAAGTCCCCGACTCTCGCCATCGCTCGGACGTCCATTGCCCGTGCACTTTCCGATCTCGAGTGTGTGTGTGTGTGTGTGTTTGCCCGATGATCCAGGATGCTCCTCGATGGTGCTCTCGCCGAGAAAAAATGCACACGTCCGAGGCCACAGGAGGTAAGCAGAAGCAGAAGATGCCCCAAAAGCCTTGATGACCCCCGATCCTCGCTGACTCCGAGGAGGATGAGAGGAAGAGGAGGAGGACCAGGGGAAGAAGGAGAGGAGGAGGAGGAGGAGGATAAGGACGAGGAGGAGGATGAGGCGGAGGAGGTAAAATCAGCAAAGATAGTCCGAAACTTTGCTGGCTCTTCGACCCCCGCGGACGCGAAGGGGAGGAGGAGGATGATGGGGAGGGGGAGGAGACTGTCGCTCGCGAGGCGCGCCGGCACGCCCCGCCTCTTCCCCTCCTCCCTCCTTCCCTCTTGTTCCCTTCTCAGTCTTCCTCTTCTTCAGTCTCTCTCTCTCTCTCTCTCACGCTCTCTCTCTCGCTCTCTCTCTCTCTCTCCCCCTCCCTCTAAGTCTATCTCTACATATATAAATATACGCATACAAGGGTGTCTCTCTCTCTCTCTCTTTCTCTCTCTCTCTCTCGTTATGTGTATGTGTGTGCGTGCGTGCGTGCGTGCGTGCGTGCGTGCGTGCGCGTGTGTGTGTGTGTGTGTGTGTGTGTGTGTGTGTGTGTGTGTGTGTGTGTGTGTGTGTGTGTGTGTGTGTGTGTGTGTGTGTCTCTCTCTCTCTCTGTCTATCTCTCTATCCTTTTTTTTGTTTCTCTCTCTCTCTCTCTCTCCATCTCTACTCTCTCTCTCTCTCGCTCTCTCTCTCTCTCTTCATTGCGCACTCTCGCCTCTCTCTCCCTGGCCTTCACGGCGGGGGGGGGGGCAGTCCTGCCGCAGCTCCAGCTCGGGGGGCTCCAGCCTGTCCTGAAGGCGCAGGGGGGGGGCCCTCGGAATCGCACCGCGCGGTGAGGAGGAGAGGGGAGGAAGAGGACGAGTACTCTGTGGTGGGTAGTATTCGGTGGCCTTCCCCCTTTTCTTTTCTCGGCGGCAAGCGAAGAGGGGAAATGAGAAGGAGAAGGCCTTCTCAAAGGCGGCGGAGCTTCTCAAAACCCCGCCTTCTTCTGACAATGTTTGTTTGTCTTCGGGGATAGCTTAGACAACTTCTCAGAAGGACGGGGGACGTCCGAGCCTTCTGATAATAGAAAGCCCACAAAACACGCACGCGCCCAACCATGTACATGAGAACACGGCCCCCCGATCCGCCAGACCCGCCGCGTGATACTAACACTCGCGCAATGCACACCCTCGAAACCAACGTGAACTCGTGTACGTGCACGTCATTTTTACGCACCTGAGAGAAGGCCCGCCCCTTCTCACTTCCCCCCTCGCCCGCAGCCGACTCCCCTCTCTGGATGAGACTCCCGGTGGCGTGTGGGAAGGCCCAACTCGCGCGTCGGCCGGGCGGCCCGCGCGCGGGTGGACGGAGGGACGCCCAAGAGGTCGCTGCGGAAGGAAGAGGAGGACCGACAACTATCGGGCCGGACGAAAAGGGGGGTATAACGATGGTCACCTACGGCAAGTTCGTGTCGTGACGACCCTGGCGTTGGTTTCTGATACCGCGCTGGATCGTTCAACCTTGAACGATTGGCCGTTCCCGAAGCGTCAGATCGTTTTGATACCGACCGATTCTGGGTCGCCGGCGGCGTTCAACGTTTAACGCCGGCGGCGGGGTCGCTTCAGGTGGACACGACGCGAACCCACCGTGTAGCAAATGTCCCGCACAAATCGGTCGGAAGAAGCAGGGTAAAAACGCGCCGGACAGAGCGGGCCGGATGCGGGCCCTCCCAGAGGACTGCAGGACACAGCGATTCTTGAAGCAGGAAGGCGCAAGGAGTGCTGCAGATTGGGACCTGGGAATCCCAAAGAGCACCAACTCTCAGCGACCGACGCGCAGCCTCGTTTTTTGTTGTTGTTGTTGTTGTTGCTGTTGTTGTTGTTGTTGTTGGTGTTGGTGTTGTTGTTGTTGTTGTTGTTGTTGTTGTTGTTGTTGTTGTTGTTGTTGTTGTTGTTGTTGTTGTTGTTGTTTGTTGTTTGTTATGTATAGATATGTACATCGGAGAGGCATCGTGACCGAAAACGTGTGCCCGAAATTCAAAATTCTTCCCGGGTGTGGCCGCAGCCTGGGCCCGCACATCTCCGACCGCGCCCAGGTGTGACCGAAACGTGTGGTTCGAGCAGAGGCCTCCCAGATGGGGTCGGAGGATCGCGCCGCATCGCCGATGCATCGGCGTTGCATCGGCGATGCATCGGCGATGTGTCGCCGACGTCGGCGATGCATCGGCGATATCGGCGTGAAGCAAATCGGGCTCCGCATCGAGCCGCATCGGCGATGCATCGGCGATGCGGCGCGCTCCTCCGACCCCATCTGGGAGGCCTAGACCGAAGCCAAGACGATCTTCAACCTCGGTCACGTTTTCGGTCGCACGACGAATTCGGTCACAACAGCGGGCACGTTTTCGGTTCCTAATGTTTGTCGGTCACCTGCAAATCAGCTCGAGCAGCTGTGTTTCCTTGCGTCTTCTGGCGCCAGTGTGTTGAGGAAAGCGCCCTGCGACGGGGCCGAGACCAGCTGGACGCCATGTGCCTCGCCCCTCCCCTTCCCGTTCCTCTCCCTGCGTCCGACCAGGGACTTCGGATCAGCTCGCCCCCGGACGACTTCTTGACCATGTCTGAGCCTTCCTCCCGTAGAGGGACGCGCCCGACTCGAGGCCAGGAAGAGGACAAATAGGTAAACAAAAAGTCACATAAACATAAGAACTCGGAGGTCCGCGTGGATTTCTCGCATCGGCGCTGGACCCCCCTCCCTGGCGCGCGGAGCGCGCCAGGGGCGGCGCCGGAGGCGCCGCCGAGAGGCCCCAGCGCCGATGCGAGAAATCCGCGCGGACCTCCGAGTTCTTCTGTTCGTGCCACTTCTTGTTCCCCTAACAAGAGGGCCAGCGGGAAGCCGAGACGGCGCCAGCGACTCTCCCGTCCCCTTGGGTTTGGACGCCCGAAATGGACGCGGAAACAATGGGCACAATGCCCAACAGCAAATGTTGCCCCGAACCAACAGCGGCCGCTGTTGGGCAGGCGGCCTTCTGTCTCGCATGGACACGGGCCGCGGCGGCGCGGACAGCGAATCCTGTTCAGAATGAGCAGGGACTGCTGTTGGGCATTGTGCCCATTCTTTCAGTACCCATTTCGGGCGTGCCGATTGGGGGCCCCTGCCCGGCGCGTGCCCCCTGCCCGGCGCGTGCCCAATGCGAAGGATCCTGCAAGATCCTGCAGGATGCTGCACCCAAACCCGGGGTCAATGGGACCCTGTCCCTGCAGGATCCTGCAAGATCTGGCGCTCTGGCTGACCCCCGTTTGCATTGACCCCCGTCTCAATCGGGAGCGGCCAAAAGGGGGGTGCCCAAGAGGGGGGGTGCAAATCATGACCAGCGGCATGTGCGCGGCCCAGCGGGGGGGCCAGGGACGTAATGAAATAAGAAGAGGCGCCATGACATCTGGGGAAATATATCCTGGCCCCCGCCATGAGATCCATCCCCCCCCTGGTCATCACCCCCCTCTTTTCCGGCCCCGAGGTATCCGCGACCTCCGGTCTTGAATATCCGCTCCCGACGTCCCCTGGGGGGCCCCTGCCCGGCGCGTGCCCCCGGCGAGCGCTCCCCCGCCCCGCCGCCGCCAGGGAAAAGGGCGCGCGGCGCCCCGCTGAGGCGAGCGGGCCCGGCGGGCCTGCTGGCCGAGCACCGGGCGGCAGGCCGTGCCGTGGAGGGTCTACGCCGTGCCTTTCCGTGGGGCCCGTCCCCCGCCGGTGCGGCGAGCCCCCCACGCTCGGGGCGCTGAGCCGCAAGGGCTTGCTTGAGGGAGGAGGGGGAGGAGGCGCAGGAGGAGGAGGAGGAGGAGGAGGAGGAGGAGGAGGAGGAGGAGGAGGAGGAGGAAGGACGAGGAGGAGGAGGAGGAGGAAGGACGAGGAGCACTTTTCGGCGGTGGGCAAACCTCCCCTTAAATAAACCTCCCCTTGAACTGCCTGGGACCGAAACCGATGGAGCCAAACCTGCAGAAAACGAGGGCCGCGACGCCCTCTCGCGAACCGGAAACGGCCAATTCACTAATCGACGTGTCAGGGTAGGAGGTCTGTCCACCCCCGAATTTTAGAGGAAAGAGAACTGTGCACATACACCGATTCTGGCCAGGCCCATCCTGAGCCCAGGATCGGTGCATTCGCCCTCCTGCCTTGGCTGGGAAGGTCTGTGCACCGATCCTGGGTCAAGGATGGGCCTTGCCAGGATCAGTGAATGTGCATAGTTCCCTTCGCCCGACATTTTGGGCGACAAATTAAAAGTAGTCAAACAATATTCCAAAAATGCCTCAAAGTAGAAGAACAATGGTCCCCAGACTATCTTTGGACTTTTTTTTTGAATATTCCTCCTGTAGAGGGCCAGGCCCGTCTTGACCCTTGCCCTTCAGTGGAAGAAAAGCGCAGACACACAGGACGATCACATTCGGGGTGCCGTCCAACGAGAACCCGTGCTTGAATAGATGCCTGCCATCCGGCCTCGTGAATGCTCATATATTCTGGTCGTATACCAAGTTGCGGACGACTCGAGCGGGAACCCTCCTTTCGATGAAAAATAGGCGCAAAAAATAAGATGATTTCAGGGCGCCGTCCAACGATAGCCCATTTCTAAACAGATGCCTGTCATCTGGCCTTGTAGATGCTCAAAATCTGGTCGTACCAAGTTGCGGACGACTCGAGCGGGAACCCCATCAAAAAGAAGAGCCGCCCTTGATCCGTGTACCGGTTGCAGAATTTGGAACCTCGGGGCATGGCACGTGAGGACATCTGAATCAATCACCGCCTTTTGAAAACGGTCCAGCCCGCATTGTTGTAGATGCCGGAAGCTGTGCAAGCGAATGTGTGCCACACTAAGGTGGGAGCTGCTGTATGAAAACGACAAGTCTTAACTGCTTGCAACTGTTGGAAACTTTGATGCCTCTACGAACCCCAGCCCCTTATTTTCTCGCGGCCAGGCGCTGGCGGCACACAACAGAAGCGTCCACGGCGACAGCAAAACAACAAATCGTCCGAATCGACAGCGAAACCGAAAACGATCGAAACCGACGGAACGACAGCAGCCTAACAGGATGCGGCAGAGCAGCAACCGACCAAACCGAATCGACCAAAGGCAGCGGGCTGCGAAGCAGCCTGAACCGACCGAACCACTGACACGCTTGGTTACCCTCGTCATCTGGCTTTCGTCGAGGATCCTCTGACCCGGGCCAATTGAGACCTGAGTCAGTCAGGCCTTGCAGGATTCTGCAAGATCCTACAAGATCCTGCAGGAACCTGCACCCAAGCCCGGGTCAATGCAACCCTGGCTCTGTAGGATCCTGCATGATACGGCCCTTTGACTGACCCCCGTTTGCATTGACCCCCGTCTCTTGAGCCCCGCTCTCGGGTCATAACCAAATCGCCGGCGGCCCTTCGGGACGATCCGGGCAAGCCTTAGGTCGGGCATGTCCTCCTCCTACAGGCGGATTTTGGATGACAAATCAAAGCTACTACTCCAAAGATACCCCAACGTAGTCAAAACATCGCCCCCAAACTTCTCTTGTTTTTCTTTTTGTTTACTTGAAAACAATATTTTTTGAGTTTGCCTCCTGTACGGCAGGTTCGCGTCGTGCCGACCCCAGCGTTGGTTTTTGACACCGCAGGGATCGCTCAACCTTGAACGATCGGCCGCTGCCGCCAACGTCCGATCGTTCAACATCGATCGATTCTGGGTCGCCGGCGGCGTTCAACCTTGAACGTCCGCGCTGGGGTCGCCGCCGGTCGACACGACACAAACCTACCGTAGGGGGACAGGCCCGACTTCAAA